ATGTCGTCTCCATGAGGATTAATTAAAACAAAAATGCTCTCATCAAATCTGAAATGCAAGGCAAAGTGAATTTCTCCATGTGGAACATGTGAGTTTGTAGCCCAGTTGACTGATTTCATACTCGTTTATCTTAACGAACAGATATGACATCAAATCTAGTAGTTCGCAATGCACAAATTCTCCTACTTTAAACGCTATAAACAGCTTGTGGAAATGTAAAATACTATCAAGTCGAAACGATAGAGTATCTCAAATATGTTAAGATGAACAGATTTACACATACCCAAGTGGTGCTCTACTCAGAACCTTTTCCATGGATACCAGACTCCCCTAATGGCTAATCAAAGTCGATCTTGTTTCCAATGTGACCAACTGCTTGACATGTAGACTAACGCACCATGGAGTAGGCATTTTGCACGGTATTCAGGAATGTTACGAGGCCCACCTAATCTGATTTGGGCAAATTTAACGAGTAGATAGATGTTCAGAAGTTTGTGATCGACAACTGGTTACGCTCTACATGATTATTGTGCATCACTTATCGATCTTCGGTATTTTTACTGGCTAGACAATGCTCTGATGAGAGTGTACACGAATGATGTCTCCAATGGAAGATNATGGAAGATCCAATACTGTACGGCCTGTTCATATATAAATCTGATTCGTAAGGGACGAAATCGTAAAACTGAATAGACGGATTACTTATCTCAGATTAGCGGACAGATTTTCAAGGGGATTTTACATTTAACAAGACCATGATGCATATTCTTCATCCGTGTGCTTAATGATATATGGTAGGTCAATGCGCTAAAACTCCCCAGGTTCCCATTCTTGAGTTGTGGNCGAGCCATTGTAAAAAACAACTAAACCGAAAGGCAGATTTTTTTTATCCTACAGGATACCAGTCGATAGGCTCACATCAAACTGACAACCACGAAATGCAGTGTCAACATATCTGAACTGGAACCCAATCTAACTTAAAAATTTTGTGATCTATTCATATCCATACTCCCTCGCAGGTTCAAACTGATCCTTTTCGATCGAATTCCATTTTTTTATTCAGAGTTTTTTCTGCTGCGTAGCCAGGAGTTAAATCAGATGCTAATCTAAAATGGGCATTTCTCTCTGAGAGCTCTGTTGGAAACCTTCCACGTATGTCTCTTCAACTGAGCAGGAACACAGGTAATTTCGAACTCCTGAGTCCGTCATATATCTAAGCTCGTCCCTTTTCCCGTAATGTTGCATTTGTGCTCCCGTAGTTATTTTGCGTCCTTCTAAAACAACACTTCATACTGGCTTAGCAAATATTGGTCGAGTTTCATTCCTCTCCATTGATATTATTGAACTTGTGAATTTTGTTTAGCTTCGGCTCCTAAGATACTCTATTACACAATAATCTATCCCACTGTTGTGCTCATCGATCCACCTACTCGGAATTCTTTTCTCTCTTAGAGCAACCTTGTAGAGAAGCTCGGATGTACCCCAGCTGATGAGCAACAAAAATACTGAAAACAGAATTGTTCACCACAAACAGAACTTTAAATTGCATCCGTTTGCTTGATTGCTATCTATATTGATAATTTCCGTGTATTTCCCCCATTAAATATCGGATTGAACTGTGAACACGGATCCATCACATGAAAGTCCTGACTTGGTGGGAGGCTTTCGATTGGAGTTAACAGGTTGTCATCTGTGTCTCCCTTCATTGCGGTTAGACCAAAGAAACTGACTATCACTGAAGACGACACCTGAGCAAACATGAATTTGCAATTTGATTCAGTCATGATATGAGCTAGTTGGCACAGTGGTAACGCATATGCTTTCCACGCGATGGGTCCAGAGTACAAATCCCGGACGGGATGGTGGATATACACTACTGATGAGTTCTAATAAGAGCGAAACTTGAGTTTAGTGCTTCCGAATGTATGATTGTATCGATGAACTGACCGAATGATAGTCAGTTCAACTCAATAAATATCAATTATCCCACATCACTATTCACGAGTAACTATGAGTTAAATGCCAGTTTTCTATTTTCACATTAGTTACCGACTAAATATTTATTTTCTATTATTCCCAAATGGAAAAGACCGTTGGCTTTTTCCGCGTCGATAATGAATTTTGTATAGCTTGTATCAGCGGAGATCGCTAGTACTGGTCGATCAACACTGTAATTTGACATGGACTGTTTTAACCCATTCAATCAAGAAAGCAAACAATAAAAAAGTGATGACTATCGCGAACGATGTATTTTGATCGATTATACAGTGCAGATTAACGTCTGCTGTTTGACCAAAATTCAACTGTTATACCTCAATGAAGGCTGATCATTTCACCCAGAAGAATTCAAAGGTCCCGAAACAAAACAACTTAGTCCCAAAAGTGAAATTATTGCCAGCAATATTTTTGCGTTTGTCTCCCCACATGCCTCGTCTCACTTTCGGATCAATGAGAGATGACATTATTCTCGGAATGGGATGTGTGGCAAGTTTCGACTTCCGTTGTGCCGAAGTTAGTCTATATGGTGAACAGTGTTTTGTGAGTCCGAACTACTATTCCGTCCACGTTATAGATCCAATGGAGAAAACACTATACTTTGTGTGTCCACAACGCACCCTTTTTTGAACTGGACTTGGATTCTCGGTTCATTGCTCTCAACTCGTGTGTGTGTGTGTGTGTGTGTGTGTGTGTGCAAGTGTTATTCTACAAGACGGTGACCTACCGGTCAACCCATCAGTTTGTGGGTGTAATTCATTCATTCAGTTTCCACCACCATCTTATTATCGTGCCAAAACCCACCCGGTTACACGTATACAAGCATTAGATCCGGTTTATGGCTGCAAAGAGACCCCCCATACTCTGTCTGAATTTTATACCCACTAAGCCGTAGAGAGTTTCGGGAGAATTCTGTTTCAGTCGTGCCCTAGTATTTCCTACTCATGATAGTTGTATTTTCGTATCTTTTTGTGCTTTGGATATCCTCCACATACAACAGGGGAAAACTAAAACCTATGACGAAAACATGGGCACCTGTAATGTGAAACCTATGGAAATACACACCTGAAGTTCTGTGGCCGTGCTTCAGACATTGACTTCAGCAAGAATTCTCAGTTTACCAAGTCAACTTTACATTCACTTTTCCTTCTCGAAAGCCTTTAAACGTATTTTACGGGTTCATATTACTCCTTACGTACATTTTTATCTCGTTCGGAAAGTCAGAATCGAGTCAACAACCGATCACTCAGTCGGGATATGTTCTTACAAGTAGAAGGAGCATAGGATGATCCTATAAGATCACAGTAACGTTCCGAATACAGGACCACACCTATAGTTGTATTGGTTTACTTCCTCAGTGGGATATTTGAGAACGACGAATAGTACAGTGCGGTGGTACAGGACAAAAGGGATGCACCTAAGTATTCCGTACCATTTTCTAATAATCCACTAAACTGATAATGATTGTGTCCTCTTTCGCTCCACTTGGAAAAAACGATTGGTTTCAGGTGGGTTCTGTAATGAGAGTTCAAATCAAGCAGTAGATCACCAGCATCGAATAGCATGTGACTTGTAGGACTTGCTATCAACTTAACCAGTATCGATACAGTTAATTACAGCTAATCCGCTCCAGTTCAGTGATCTTCATTCTTCCGAAACCAGGGGTGTGCAGATATATTTCGAAATCGGTCTCTGGCACCAACTATTGCATCGGTTTACATTATGTTGCTCAACTTAGCTCAGTCCAGGAGTTGTATTCCATTCTCTGAGGAATCGAACTAAACCTTATCCAGCGTTGAGTTTTATGGTATGGCAAACGCTGGAGACTCATGACCATTAGTGGCGTTTATCATCAGTAGATTTTCCCGCACTTTGTGTGTACAGACTCTGGCATCACTATCCTATTTCATAATTTATTGATCGGCAGCATTTGACTAGGCGTAGTTCTCCTCTTCCATTTCACTTGTTCGCCGAGCTTAGCAGTTGTTTGCTTACGCTTGTGGAGCACAATCACTGATGATGTCACCTCTGCTGGCGATGAAACGTTTGCAAACAAACCGCCAAACTAGGCGAACAGGCGAAATGGAATTCAATTCAACCCAGCTACGAGAAAAGATTTGCGATACTTTGTCATAGTTCTCTCGTATATAAAAAAGTGGCAGAAAAATTTGTTATTGTTATTATTGAAACGTACCACAAAGCGAGAACAATCGCAGTAGATAGACGTTAAGCTGTTTGGTATACTGGTACCTTGGTTTGAAAATAATTTAATATCACTTCTACGCTATAGTTTGCATTTAATGAAGCCAACGTGCCGATAGGTGGGAAACTTTCTACTTGATACTTTGAATTCAGTTATTGGTAGATGTAGGTTGAAGAAGACCATAGAACGTATGAGGTCGTCATTGGTTCGCAGACAACATGTGACATCGATTTTATATCGTACAGTAGCAACTAAATGTTTCTCCGCTAAAAAGTCGTCCACATCGAACCACCCTCTTCATTTGTCTTTTCCTTCGCGTATACGCACGCACACATCTACTCTTTTGCACAGGGGTTATACATGCATTCACACACACTCGGGCCAACACGTGTATTGTCGCTCTAACTGGTTCGGACGAACAGGACTGGTTTTCCCATCGGACAAATGGGATTTTGGCAGACCCAGTGACAAGTGGTACACAGCTTGGCTTCACGGGAGAGCCAATCAGAAAACGCACAAGGGCAGAAAGCGGGTGTGATCGCACNTCACCGGTTGTCCTTCTCCCCCAACATTTCACGCCAAGGGGAAAGTTAACCCACAAACACATACACCTCACACACGTTTGTTCAAGCATACACGCAAGACGGTGGAATTTAAAACAAACGACGCAACTTTGTACACAGATTAACTTTTGTAACTTTCGGGAATGAGGCCTAGAGACGCAAAGTTCCACATGGAACGGATTGTACTACTGAATTCTATGTGACCTAGGTTAATTGTGGACCTTAGACGATTTTGTGCTATGAACCTGTCTATCGATTATACTCTATGCAATTTGGATCACAAAACTAATCCATTTAGTTCGGTTGCCTCAGATTATGACTTTGGAACTTCCGTAGATCGTGATGCAGAGGCTCATGCATTTATGTTGAACGCCTGCCAACAAACAAATTGTATTTCACAATACTCGAAGCTAAACGGTCTGTATCCCCATTATATATCAACACCAACTCCNNNTTCATACGGTACTCCAAATCCGGAAGATATTGATTCGGGACAATCGTTGGCCTATCGTCCAGAAATGACGTCAGTAAAACAAATCATTGGAGATTATGATCGATTTGGCCGACCCGCTCCTACATGCCACGAATCATGGCAACTTCCTACGGACGATTATGTACCGCACCAGTTATACACAGACTACGAGACCTTCACTTTGGGTGCAGGAGAGAAAACTAGTTGGGGAGCGTGCGCATTTCGGCGGTTTGCTGCATTTGTCCCCTCGGATGTGTCCAACAGAACAAACGATCCGTACAGTACATTTTTGTCGCTGCCGTCAGATTGTTCGGGCTATACAGACTCTCAGACCACGGCTTCCTACAATCTGCCGCCGCCACCACAACCACCGCCGCCACCACTACCACCGCAATCACTGTCCATAGCACAAACAAGACCGACGGATGAAACACGTTTCGATAGAGCATCATCTGTATTAGTTCAGTCAGATGCCGTGCGACATACAATGGTCGACCGAGATTCACCCGATAGATTGCATTTGCCTATGTTAAACGCCAACTACAATATAGAGGCTCGGTTTACAGTAGATTTGTCTCAACGTGAACGGGATATACGCGATACTAGCTCATCTGATCGGACGCATCGAAAGAACAGCGGGAAATGTATGGGTGCATACAACTCTTCTCCTTTGGGACAAGGACCGGTGAAATGGGAACCTGAGGGGCTGGCTGCTCATCCATTACATTCGAACAGCCGTTCTGTGGAATCCAAGTCCGATGAGTCGACTGTATGTTCCGTGGAGTTCACATTGAATTTACGCTCGTCTTCGGAATCATTAACAAACCATGCGACGCAGCCAAAAGCTGCCCGGTTGAACCGAACAACAGGAAAACGTCAAAGCCAACCAACTGGAACGTCGTCGGATCTCACGTCACCAACAATGTATGATCGAAATTCATATCTGGAACAAACAGATAAGGTGGACGCAAACAACCGGATTCTCTCTTTTCCTAACAAGGCAGTAAGTTGTGGTGGGACCAGGACCACAACAGTCTCAACGACCGTTTTGTCCAGTTACGCCAGTTCAAAACAAGCTTCAAATGTGAAAACCCATTCCAGTCCGGTGTGTGCAACCGCTTCAAGATGCCCACTGCCGTTCAAATGGATGCAGATCAAACGTCAACAACCCAGGCCAATTCAGACGGGTACGTTTTGGTTGTTTAGTGCATCTATAAGAACAGTGTATTTAATGCTAACTAGAGTTTCTTATTTTTTGCGGTATCCACTGCATTTCTTTATGACAATGATCATTATTTTCAATCTATGCGATATCATTTCGCTTTCGTTTGATGACAGTTCGTTTATTTGGAGATTGTGTGATTATTTGAGTATTATTTGACGAATTGAGTAACGTACACTATACATTACTGTTTGATGCGAATGGTCTTGTGACTAAGACCTCCGATAACCTGGATTGGAATTTGAGATATCAGCAGGCTTTGGGCATAACAAGTGGTTGTGGTATTAACGTCCGGGAATAGTTAAACGGCACATCACGCAAGTAAGATGACTATACAATTTGCAATTTTGATTACACATGATTTTATCTGGAAATTTCATAGCTGCGTGGGTTCTCTCATCTTAATTAACCTCAGACTTATCCAAGTCAAAGAAATCATTTGGCTGAAAAATGCTATTAGTTGTTAGATGTATAATTCAGTGTCTTGGCTTTAACCGATCGGTTTTCTTTCCGCGCGCAAACAAACACTATGGGAAATTTTTTAAATAGCCAATTGTCTTACTTTATTCAAAACAATGACAACAGTACGTGCCTGGAGAAGGAAGAACTCGACGATAATTGGTTATAATAAATGTCGTTCCCTTTTTTTACGTTTGTAATAATAATAACATTAATATTGGGGAAATTTCACGAAGTACTCAGTGGCTGATCGAGTCACACTTATTCAAAAACCTGACTAAAATGAGTACCGTGGGCCGGAAATGATGAGTTATGGTGTATCGTGTATGGGGAGAGAGAAACAGTCTGATCTGCTACCCGGTGGGCAGCTAGGTTTCTAGCTCTATCCTCATTTGGGTCCCAACAAGCCTAGGACAAATCTAGTGTATTGTTTGTTTGTTTTCCTGTCTACAGTTCTTTCATATTGTTCTCGGCGAATTTGGTTCTATGAAGATTTTGTTTCAAAGCCTATAGAGGGTGGCATACATTCGGTCAAGCACTCAACCAACCTCATTCCAATCATCAAACACCACAGACAGGTAGGAATTGATGGGAAGTCTCTGTTCCGTTCTGTGTTGCATAGGATTGTGTGATCAGATTGTGACAGAACAGTGGGGTTCAGCATGTGATCGTCTCTCAGTTCGCACCACCGCCACTCCCCACCCCCAAATTGGTAATCATCAGGCTGTGATTTTCACATTTGGAACACGTGCAAGATGTTGAAACACAATAAAGAATGTTAAAAACCAACGACACAAATTAATAATTGGAACCATAAAATAAGTGGATTCGGCCTTTAGATTGTGAGTAATTTGTAACTAATCGAGTGAACCGAATGAGCTACCGACATACCAAACAATAACAACAACAACAACAACAACAATCAAGTGAAAAAGACCCATTTTGGATAAAAAATATAGCAGCAATCGAAGAATTTACCCATTCGTGTTCAGAGTACAATGCTTAGTGCTTCAGATAAGTTTAGGCTGGAGCAGTTGAGGAAACTATTCTCATTTTTAAGCCATGACACAACAGTTTTACCGGTGAATCGAGTGTGAAATTTGTCACAGNATTGATTGATTTTGCCAAAAGTTTTATCACCATTGTTCAGTTCATCAGAAAATGTATGTTGTGTATGAACATAAGGACTCACATTTAAAAAGACTTTCAGAAAAAACACTCCATCATATGGTCAAGTCAAGTGAAGACTTGACTTGAGATGTGATTTGATTAATGTTTACGAATATCATTCCTTTGAAGCTCGTTAGTTGTTCACCTGATAAATACATTTGATTAGCGGCGAAATTGAGAGTAAATCAGTCACAAATAAGATAAATTTTTTCCCTCTTTCTTGGCATCATCAGCACTGTAAATCCATCACCCCAAATGGGGCTCGAAACCGAAACCCCACTGGAAGAACGTAATCATACTACTCACCTAGGCACGGGGTAGTTTCACGCTATCTAGGTTTTCTGCCCAACGAAACTCATGTTTNCGGACTTATTCCAGTGCAAACCTTCTAGAATCGTGAATCCATTGGGAATGGTATGCGCGTGAAGTAAATGGTGAAATTCCACTTACGGTAAAATCTGATCCTATATTAATCTACTCAGCATAATGATATACTTGATGACCTGGTTTCTAACATTGTTGATGATACTGAGCAAAGTCAACGCAGCCAAACACTGCCTTCTTGCTTTTCGGTTTACAGTCTGCCTCCTTTGAATAGGACAGAATTTCTTTTCCATGTTGTATCATTGTTTCTTTCGTTGTGTTCCGTTCGTTATCAATGAAGAATTCAATCTAATTGTTTGTTATGGTTCTGAATCGAGGTATGTTCCTAAAGTGCATTTGTCTTGGACCGGAGTTTCCATCGGAGGCAATTTGTGCTCATGCATAACCAAATTCTTGTAGTACATGCTTTATTTTACATTCTCTCCCTCCCCCCTATTCACA